GGGGGGGGGGGTGGCCCCCAACCACCAGCAACGCCTGGAGCACATTGTCCGGAGGGCGGCGGTGGAGGACAAGGTGAGGGGGCTGCAATTTCTACCTAATTTCCTGCCAGCGCGTACCTTGGCTGCTAGAGACTGGCTGTCTCCACTGGTATTTATTTATTTTTAGTACAGTTTCTTTTAATAGAATAGTTTGGCACCACGTGCCCTGTAATTGCATCGCTGGGTTTACAGCATGGGGATGAATTAGATCTGGGTGACAATTACGGCCGTGTTCTGCGAAGCTTTTAGGGGTGGGGAATGAAGGAGATGTGAATGGGTTAAAATAGCTGAGTTTTGGCTCAGTGGAAGCTACGGGGTTGGGGGGAGAGCTGCTCACCAGGCGGGGAGGTACACACACAGCTCGGGGGGCTGTGGGGACGTCAGCAGGTGAGCCAGGCTGGTCCCACCCCGGGCATCCCGATAGCGGCCAAGAGGAGCAAGAGGTGGTCCCCTGCCACCACCCCTCTCCACGGGCTCAGCTTCGAGGCCTTGGCCGTCCATAAAACCTCGCTTTAGCACGATGAACCTTAAAGTTTGTCTTTCCCACCCGATTTTTGAATGCAGTTTGCATTTTACCGAGGCTGTTGGCCCTTTCTTGCGGGATTTGCATCCGGCTCCTGCTCGGCAGGCTTCCTCCTGTGCAGGGTGCTCGGAGGGAGAAGGGGCCGGCATGGCCCCGCGCAAGAGCCCCAGCGAGGGGCTCCTCTGAACCGCCTTAGACGCTGTCTGGGGCTGACTTAGCTTAAAATTGGGCAGAGCTGAGGGGTGTCACTGGGGTCTAGCCTTGCACCGAGCTGCCGGAGAGAAACTGGGTTTGCTTTTGGCTCTCTCCGAATGTGAGCTGTAAGTGCAGGTGCTGACGAAGCCGCGCTCACCTTCTGCTTTTTGCTTTTCACAGCCTGAGACCGACTTCTTCGGGCGGCCGCTTCGGCGGCAGTGGGCGGCCGCGGCCCCGGGTAGGTGGCAGAGGGATGGGGTGGCCATGGGTGGCCCCAGCCCCGGGTGGGTGGCAGAGGGACAGGGTGGCCATGGGCGCTGCCGGGGGGTCCCTGCATTCGCAGTGCCTGGACCCCGCACAGGTACCTAAGCAGGGGCTCTGTCCCCGCCCGGGCGAACGTCAGCGGGGTGGGGAGGGGATACTGGGCAAACTGCCCCCGATGCAGCAGGCGGGGGGGTGCCTGTGGGCAGGTCGGTGGATTCTGGCAGCGTCCAAAGGGCCAGCAAATACACTGAGCTGGGGAGCAGTGTTGTGGGTACCTTGCAGGATCCGGGATGTGGGAGCATCAGCTCTGCCCGTGCAAACCGCCCGGCGCCAGCTCCCCGGCCCTTCCCGTGCAGCCTGGGCGCAGGTTGCAACTTTAGGAGTTTCTGCGAGTTTTTGACATCGATCTTCCCCCTCGCAGCCCCTCAGGCCTCCGAGGACAAGTCGGTCGAGAGCCAGATGGGAAAGGCCGTGGGGAAGAGCGACGTCTGGTTCCGGTTTAACGAAGGGGTTTCCAATGCCGTCAGGAGGAATATCTACATCAAGGACCTGCTCTAGGCAGGGCAGAGATGAAGCCCGGGAAATTATATAGGTGGAACTGAAGGGAAGGCTGACTTGACTTCCTAACCCATGGATGGGGGGTGTGTGCATGATCCTGGTTCGGTGGTTATTTTAGTACCCACTTGTTTTGTTTAAAAAAAAATAAAATATATATATATAAAAAAAAATCATGAAGTATTGTTCTGTTTATTTCATTTATAAACCCTTAGTTGTCATATTTTGCCTGTTTTGCTGCAAAATTATATCCTACAATATACAAAAGAGTATTTAAGATCACTGAAAATGTTTTATAAAAGTTTTCTTCCTTTCCAAGTTCAAACGTCTGCCAGCTTGATGGCAACGGTGGCAGGGGGGAGCGGAGGTCTGCG